CTTGCTTCGCCAGTCACGAACTTGTTTGGGTTCAATATCAAATCGCTTTGCGGTTGCTCTCGTATTTTGAATACGTTTGAAATAATAAATCACCATAAGTTTTTCGCGAACACTCCAGTTACGACGAACCTTTTTACTTGTGTGGGCTTTTTTTGCAATACTTCTTCTTCGTGGGGCCATTTTTTTTAACGTGTTCAGGAGAATTTTTTTTAACACGTTCAGAAGAATTTAGGTTTTTATTTAAGGAGAATGTTGTACAATATGTATGGGTACGTAACAAATTCAAAAAAAAAACCAATTTGAAGAAAAAAAAAACTGATTTAAAAAAAAAAAACTGATTTAAAGAAAAAAAAACTGATTTAAAAAAAAAAAAGGTTTAAGGAAAAAAATAACTTAGAAGAAAAAAAGTTCAAACCAATTGCTGAGCCGTTAGGGTAAACCCTAGAGCCGGTGTCCTGCTCAAAGCAATTTGGCACACCTTTAAACAGTTCATATCTATGACAATAAAATTCAAAGAAAAATGATTCAAGAAAAAAAGTTTAGCCCAATTGCCAAGCCGTTAGGGCAAAGCCCTAGAGCCGATGTCTTGCTCAAGGCAATTAGACACATCCTTGAATATGAACGGATAGTTTAGAAAACGAATGAAAGAACGTTAATATTCAATGCAAAATTCTTTTAGGGAAATGTTTTAAAAAAAAAAAATTTTTTTTTAAAAAAAATTTTTTTTAGAGACGAATGTTTTAAGAGTGCACAAGTTTATTTATCAGATTCAGTCTAAATTCAGTCCACAAATGTCATGGGCTGAATCCAGTAAATAGTCAAAAATAAACTTAAAAGCCTATATCATCGGCAGCACATATGAAAATAGACGTTCAATCAACTATTATCTCGACTTATGTACCCTATTAATACGGCGTACCCCATATAGAGGTACCCCAGGTACTAAATCGAGTTATGAAAATACCTGGGGTACACGCGTCCGAATTTTACGGTAATTAACCGTTTTAACTTTGTATTGCTACAAATTTCACGACTATTTGACAATGCATTGTTCAGTTCTTCTTCACTAGCACCATTGAATAAAGCCAATAACTTTCTCTTGATTCTTTTGGTTGTTCGATGATCTGCGTGATGACTAATTATAATATTATCACGAACTTCACGTGTCAAATTTATTCTTGAAATTTTTGGAACAACAGCATTTATTATATTAGAGGGAAGGTGTGTACTTTCTATTTTAATTCTAAGTGGATGACTTGAAATAAGATAAGATAATTGTGAAAATGAATAAACGCGAACAGAACAACAGTGCATGTCATTTCCATTTCTCAAATTGTTACATAGATCATAGTTTGAACAACTAAATAAACATTTTCCAATCCCACCACACTTATGTTGGCAATTATTTCCATTACCGGAACAAAACATAATTCACGACCAACACAATTTGTCTTTTTTAATTCCATTTTGAATTTCATTTACATATTCATGCCCTTTGGTCGTAAGCTTTATAACATCATCAATATGGTTAGTTGATTTTTTTGTTCTAGTAGCTTCCCATTCAATAAAATCAACTGCTCTCTCAACTCGACAAAGTGAAATTAAACCTTGGTTTATTAGTTGTGGTGTTTGCAAACGGCTTTGTGACTTTAAGCGAGTGTTTTTTAGAAGAGAGTGATGTAATATATATGATTCGGCTACACGCCCAAAAGGAACAGAAACTGTATTATCATTATTAACAATTATCTGGTCTTCCAGATTTTCCATTACTTTTTTTTTTTTTTTTGGTTAACATATGACAATATGAATTTATTACACTTTGTTGAAAATAATCAGTTGACGTATAAAGGTATAAATTTGTCAAAAGTAATCGTATAAGTAATCGTATAACTGCAATCACACAATGTACGTTATTAAAAATATTATATCAATTTTTTGCTTGGTTCAACATCATTTGGAAAAAAAAAATCGCTTTTTTTGTTTTTATTTATACACAAATCGATCAATCGGCAAATAAACTTTGGTATACTATGCAAGATAACTGGTGTGATGAAACATTTCTTGTATAGTAAAAAAAAAGTGTATTATGCATCACCTCTATTAATAAATAATATTATAAAAATTATTTGTCACACCGGCTACTATGCATATTTGTCACTGGCCATCATAGAACTAAAATACATCAAGAATGTAACCTGATTTAGGGTACATTTGTAGATCTATCAAAAATATAACTACAGGCATATCAATTTTGAATCTTTTGCGTCCGTTAGGTGTCCAGGACAAGGACCTAAGAAAATTTGTTTTTAAAATATTTTAATTTTGATCAATATGCAGCATTTGTAATGAATTTAATTCAAGACTTTGTTTATTGTTTTCTAAATAATTAATTAGAAGCTACATGTATTTTTTGTGACAAGAATACCCGTTCTTAATTCTTGATACTGCCGATCTGTTGTGCATTTTTAGATCAAAATTTTTTGTGCACATGAAGTTACACCAGCAATATACAAATGTGATCGGTGTAAGATTATTATTAACCAATCAAATTTGTGGATTTTGTTGTACAGTATAAGAAAGGCATAATATTGTTTTAAATTGTAATACCCAATAAAAATTGTAATTTATCTTTTCGCAATTTTCTTAGGTCCCTGGTCCAGGATTATGCGATATGATGAGGTAAATTATGTGGGTGAACTGAGGTTGATTATGTGATGGATACGAAATAAATTTAAAATTATGTGATCGATTATGCAATTTTTATTATTGAATGCTATATGTAATTAGTTCTAATTAGTTCTATTTTTCAGACATTTACCAAAAATTTTACCCCAACTATGCTTGTAATTTAGAACTTTTCAGTAGTGTTTGGAACCGGTTTTATTTTTTATATGTTAGAACCGGTTTTAATTAGGTTTAATATATGAAAAATAAAACCAGTTCCAAACCTTACTTACTTTCTGCCACCCAAATTACACTCCCAACAACTAATCATATTTTATTCACATGATTTATGCTTTTTTTTGCTCGATTATGCAAAGCATATGTGATGCAAAAAATTGGTAAATTATGTGCATATTATGCTTTCGCATAATCCTGAACACCCTAGTGTCTATAGAGCAAAAGTTTCAAAGTTAATATACTTGCAGTTACATAGTTGACAGATCAACAATGCATCCAAATCGGGGTTACATTCTTGATACATTTCAAGTATACAGTACATAAAAAATGTGATCTGCAATACCATGATTTTTATTTATATTAGATATAGTATATATATATATTTTTTATTTTAAGCGATTCTGCCTTTATTAATATAAACTGCTATATGAAAACACTGTAACAAAATATATATGTTTTTCATATAGAGAATAGTTCTAATTTAATAAAAACTCACTAGATATACTTAAGTACTATTCAATATGATCTGCTATAACAACTATTAGTCTCACTTAGAACCTAAAACTTGCTTCATATTTTGTATCATCAAAGGATATCTCTTTGATCATTTAACAGATTGTTGTATACTATGTCAGGTCTCTTTTTTTCTTTCTAATTTTTCTTTTTTCTTAAGGGGCTCAAGATAAAAAAAGAAAAATTTTCCAACAGAGAGTAATGAAAATGACTAGAAAAAACAAAAAACAAAAAAGAAACACTAAGGGAACTTACACTTATCACCTGAATATACCCCCACCCCTGTAATACCCTACTAGGGTCCTTTTTGCACCCCATTTTTAAAGTTGCTAGGTAATTAGCCCTTACATATGTATAACAGCCTCGTGTGGCGCAGCATATAACGGTTAACAAAAAATAAAGAATTGACCCCTTGAAACATGTAGTAACGGCCTCATGTAACGGTTAACGGTTTACTGAAACATTTGCTCCTTTAAACATGAGCATATAACAGTTAATGGTTTTATTAAAAAATTGTAAAGAATTAACCCTTGAAACATGTAATAATGGCCCATGTAACAGTTAACAGTTTATTAAAACATTTGATAAGAATTTGCTTCTTTAAACATGAGCATATAATGGTTAACGGTTTTATTAAAAAATTAATAGGAATTGGCCTTGTAACATTTTATAACGGCCCATGTGGCGCAGCACATAACGGTTTTTATCTTCAATGTTGCATAGCGCACCTCGATTATTACTACATTAGTAGTGATCATATGACATCAATCTGATTTATAGATCTATCCAAAAGTTTTACTTTTTCATCAACTATCGCTATCAGCTAGACGTTTCAACTGATCAACAACAATTAATGCTTTTTCCTTGGCTGTGTCTCAAAAGCATACTGTAAATTCGACTACTGCCTTTCAAAGGTATAATTTTAATCTTGTTCAACTACTTCATCCGGAAAAGAACGAATGTCCATGTTAAAAGGAATTATTACCTTGTTCTTTCATAATATTTACTTGGATCTACAGAACCAGTTTTCTAAAGAAAAAGAATTTTGCTTCCTAAAACAATTAGTATTGAAAGTATTTTTAAGAATTTTTTATACAGATTTATACTGTTAATTAAACTATTTATTTTAATTTAGAAGGATGAAAAGAACATTATTTTGGAAGAATATCCAGAACCAAGTGTTAGATTCTTAGAAGCAACAATGTTAAATTGTTTCAATGGAAAATTAAGGGTAATAAATAACCTCAATCTAATTCTCAAAAACTAGAGTCAACGGGTAACTATACGGGGAGTCGCTTGTGCATAGTAATACAGGGCTACGCTGTATGTAATAAAACTTTGTTATGTATGTATTTTATTACAAGTGAATGACCTAGATTGAATATTATATATGGTGGAGCGAAAGACACTCTTTGTATGCATTATATGATGGATATGATGCCTATGTCTTTGGTGCTTCTAAACGATTCTGATGACGAAAACGACAATAGGAGTATAAGTGATATAAGTAATGAAAGTAACAGAAGCGGAGAACTCGTGATTGATAAGTTGATCAATTATAACATTAATAGATTTATATATTAATTCAATTATTTGATCTTATATATTTTATGATATTATTAGGAGCTATTCGTTCAGAGTATAGCTAAAAAAAAAAATAAGAAAGAAAATTTTATCCTTCCACTTCGGTATATGCCATCTGAACTAAGTGAATTTTTAAGGTAATCATCTTGAATTATTATTATGTTTCAGTGAGAAGTACTTTATATTTAAGAGAAGTATTATTTTCTTATTTTACTTAGTGTTGGTACATTCAAATATTTATGTTTTTTTATTTATTAAAAATCATTATTTACATTTCATTATTCATCTTTTTGCTTTTTTTGGCATTCTCACCTTAATACTATTTTTTCTTGGTCGACCCCATTTTTTTGGAGTTGTTTTAGTCATATTTGTTGACTGAGATTTTTTTGGTCGCCCTCGCTATGTAGGATGTTGATTTTTTGTGTTTAGAAACTATAGACAGCGAGAGAAAATATTTGTTGCATGTTGGACAGCAGTGTTGAGAATAATTATCCACACTAATAGATGGACAGTGTTGATCATATCCAGGTAATTTTGTTTTATCATAATATTCGAACACATGTATGGGATTTAAATAATGCCCATCCTTGCCTTTTATTACAGGAGGAAGAAATCCTCCACTCTCAGCAAGCAGAATGTCGGCCTCATCCGAATGCTTAGGAGAACAACAAGATAAGTCATTACATTTTTTGATATCTAAAGAATATTTACATATTCTTAAATGTTTTTCCATCCAATTCCAGTCGATAGCTTCGCCATCAAATTCCGGAAACATAATGTCACTGAATATAAGGATATTTAAAAAATAATAATAATAATTAGTATCTCGTTTTTAATTATATAACAAAATATTTGCCATCCTACCTAAATGGATTAATATTTTTATCAACATAGCATGTGGCAACTGGCTTTCCGAATATTGGGTCACGACTCCACAAGTCACATAGTACATTTCCTGCATAATGGAAGTTTTTTTCAGCAAGCTCTGGATCGATTACTTGACCTTGTGAGTTTAAGTGTGACCCTAATAAACATTTAAATTTATATGAATGATCTACTAAACTATTAATAATCTTATTATTATCAAAATTGGGTTTACCATATTTGTCTACCGGTAAAACTATCCCCACAAGCTTTTTAGAAAGTGACGCCATGCCATGCTCAACTGGGTTATAAGCAGAATGCCCAGGTGCATAAGTTCTGACTATTAAATAGTCGAGATTGAAGGCCTGAAACATCATGCTATATTGTGTTATGTTTTTATGATGTCATGGGTTTTTATCTGGGCCTCCATCAACAAGGAGGATCCAGATGGGTCAGATTTGATCATTTGTTTTAAGGATATCGCTAAACCGGCAGTCTTGGACCAGAGAGTCTAGGTCGCTCATATGAGTTGTTGAGCTTGTACCAACTCCGTATTGGGGCGCACGAATATAGAAAGTTGCCTATTATGAGATGCGTCGTTGGTGTCATTTGGGTCCATTAATAGGTAAACGGATGGAATAAGTTTTTGCTGCGCCCCCACTGGGAAGTCGTGATCCGGAATTGATACAGGCTCATCCATACTTTGAATAACTTGGAAATTTTTTCCAACTGCCGGGATTCCAAGAGGGACTTTTGCCTTGTCATCCTGTGAAATAATCACAGAATGATTAGGAAATAAAGCAGCAAATTGCTTTGCTGCCTTTACAGAGGCAAAGCAGTAATGGATATCCGGATGATCTGTCCTTTCATTTTTTGAAACTGATGCAACCTGGGCATTTAAAATTTATTTAAAATATTAATTTTTTTAATATAGTAAATTATATATTTTAATTTAAATAAATTACTAATAACCATTATACTAATTTTTTTGTAAAGATTTGATTCTATATCTGAACATTCGCTGGATGGTGATGTGTTTTTGCTGCTATAGAATTTGAGTGGTGCGGCAACAGGTAGTTACTTAAAGTGGTACGCGAAAGATATTCACCATATTTCGACTCGAGTTCTTCACATAAGTGGTTAACTGTTCGGACTTTAACAGTTTTTTTTCTTCTTTTTGCATCAGCAGATCCGAATTCAATACATTCGTGAATGTGATCGTGCAAATTTGGATACTGGAATAGGAAAGAGGACGCCCAGGTGAATCATATTTTTCGACTACCTGTTGCTTTTTTAAGAGTTGAGCTTTTTTTTCCACACTTTTACGTTGGGCAGCAGCGTGCTGTTTTAGTTTTCTGATCTTTTTGTTTTCAACCTCAAGAGCTTCTTTAAGTTTCTTTATTTTATCCATTAAATTTTGCCGAACCTCAAAATTAATTGTAGTATTATATGCCTGCTGACACTCTAAAATTTCTTTATTTATTGCAATGATAGTTTCCGTAGCTGCCTTTTGTGCTGGGGCATTAGGTGGAGGTGTATCAGGGATAACTATTTCCTCAATTATTAGGGGCTGAATGGTCGGGGTAGCAACAGATTGTTGAATAGTAAAGACTGAATTAAGAATTTGAACTGTTAGGTTAGTACTAACATTTTGAACAGTAGTAATGGTATTGAGATTTTGAATAGGAGAGGGTGTATTAGTAGTGAGGTACTCTATAATATTTTCAATTACGTCCACAGGCTTATTTCAGATCTCTTTTCATGCTTTATTAGATTCATTACACAATTCTTTTTTTGAATACGACGGATTTTTGGAGCAGACCATACGATTGTACGCAAAAGCGTTGCAAAAACTTTGATACAGGTTGGTTGGAGTTTTGTAAATATAGAATTTATCAATTGGAGCGTGCATGTTAGAAAGAACGCAAAGAAAAAAAAGAGAAAAAAAAAATAAGAAAAACAAGAAAAAATTTAGATATTATTGGAGTATGACTAAATAAGAGAGAATATAACCGAATAGCTATATCTTATGTGGGTCTAATAATTGCTTGTTGCCAGAATTTTAGTTTATTTATAGTTGATGAAACGATATACTTAACAATTGTTGATACCGTATTCCTCCGAAAATAAGCACCCCTTTTTTGCTATAAGGGTGCTTATTTTCGGGTATAAACTCAACTAATAATTTGAATGATTTGATATTTAGTTACTTATTTCTATTATATAGGAGGTGCTTATTTTCAGGTATATATGAATTGTAGGGGGTTCTTACTTTCAGGGGGTGCTTATTTTCGGAGGAATACGGTACTATAATTCTACACTAATCTCCCCATTATTTAATTTACCTCTCATCATTTAATTTCCTTTTACGTACCTTCATCATTTAATTTCCTTTTATGACCCTCATTATTTAATTTCCTTTTAGGGGCTTGCATTACTAACGTTGGTATCGCCAATGTTTGATTTATACTTCAACTTAACAATATAACAATGTCAATAGCGCAGCATTATCACGTATCACGAAACAACTTTGAATTGGGGAGTTGAGGGTTGTTCTGCGATATAATAACAAACTAAAACTACTGTCGCTAAACTGATTTTAAGGCTTTCTCGATGGAATTAATCTGGTTCGAGAATTAGATATAGAACTGGTCACATGAAAAGTCAACCTATAGTGAACACTCCTACTCTAATTTATTTTCTGATTCTCGTTACTATAATTACTAGATCATTGAGGATAGTGCGAAGACATTTTTAACATTTTCTTAGTTGTATATTTTGAAACATTAAACTGCATAGTCAGATGCAGCTTCGGATCAAATTATTGCATACTACTATATACCTGATCTGCATAATTTAGAATATGATGCTAGTAAACCTCATCCAACAATCAAGTAATATCCTTTTTTACTTTTTTTATTTATTTATTTTTTATCTTTTATTAATTATTTCATTTTGAACCCAGGTAAAAGTTTTACTATAAGCCAACTACAGTAAAACCTCTATAAGTGGGACCAAGCTTTAACAATGTGCACTTAGAGATCAATAAGAGAATGTGCATTTAAAGAGGGCATGTGTATATTTGGGCCAGAACTTGAGCGTGCATTTAGAGAGGGCGTGCACTTATAGAGGGTGCACTTATGGAGGTTTTACTGTAATGATATTGCTTTACTAATATTTTGAACATTGTTTAATCAATCTATTCGATTACATTTTTATAAAATCCAGCCTTAAGCTGAAATTCTTTAATGCAATTATCGATATCCTCATTTCGCTCCCATTCTTATGTTGTTTTTCTAAGTACCATATTTGCATGTAATAATGGGCTGGGTGTTAATTTGAAATTTGCTTTTTCAAAAAATTAGTTACTCAAAATATCGTTCCAAATAACACGCACCCACCTTTTGCGTAACTTAATTAGCTGAAAGTATCTGAACAGTATTTTGTCTCGAATCAATCACGGGTGTATATTAATTAATTGGTCGGTTGATGTATTGTCATGATTTTATCATATGATTTCGTTTCGTATGATTTTGTATGATGTAGTATTTGCGATTAGTAATCGTTAGTAGTGTTTAAGGTGAACGGGGTTTTTTCCAGATAAAGTAATTTATGTTTTTTTGCTAACCTGGTTTTCCCCAGCAGACCTAGCATTGCCCACAAAAAAATGCAGCCTACATCATAAATTTATCACATGATGACGTTCTTCAGTAAAACTGCATGAATTATCTGTCATATAGTTATTCGTAGTACCGATAATAAATTATTTAAAATTTTTTATTAAATAAACGAACAAAAGAAGTTTTTTTGCAGCACATGCCATACATACTTGTGCTTGTACTTCAATATTGATTTTAGTTAATAAGAATGTAGTATTATTTTTATTAAACCAATTGTTAAAATACTTAATCGCAGCTATTCTTAGTAAAAAAAAAAAGATCACAGATTTAATTATAACGTAGGCTGCATTTTTTTGTGGGTGATGCTAGGTCTGCAGGTTTTCCCCACCCTAGCTTAAAAGCTA